GCGTATCTTTAACCGGGTATAGTAATATAAATTTTGTAAAGGCGTCAATGATAATGAAGAGATATGCATTACCAGCTTTTGTATTTATGAATGGGCTCAAATGGTCAATATGCACGGTATGAAATGGTTTAGATATTTTGGGTATGGGGTGTGTTAGGTGTATGTTTTCATGTGGAGCTTATTTACAAGTAATGATTAGATTACCTTACGGGTGTAGTACGTAAACATGTAGTCAGACTGTCAAGAGGCAACAATGGGCAGATGAGATGTGATCAGGGTTCCTGGCAATCACTCGTGATATGTAACAAACAAGTACTGCTGTATGTTCTTAATACGTAACTAATTATGGTTTACACTCACCGGGGGCGCCCCGCCCCGTCCTTCGCTGTCCTATCTGGCGGTCCCTCGAATAAGCATCCCCGATGTAGGTTGTGCATGCATCTGGAACACCTGTAATCAAAACTACACACACATACGCTCACTTCTTTCATCCTCGTATCTCTCGGCTCAGCCCCTGGATACGGCGCCCCTTGGCTAATGCCCTCGGCCTCACCATTCATTCTCGTATCACTGGCATGATACGGCGCCCCTGGGCCACGTCTACCTCTCGGCCTTACCATCCACTCTCGTCACCAGTCATTCATTCAGTAGTAACACAATAACAACAATAACACCTGATTTATAGAGACAGATCTGCCCTAACGACGTACTTTAATTAGTAGGATTTTAATAAGTAATCGCTGCGAACGTATTCACTAGACTGCTGAAATAAGACTCTCTCGTCTCTAACGCAGTAACCCAGAATCACACCGTCAGCTGAATCTACATAAAATAATAACGCTATGAAATACAATTCATCATTTATTGATAACTAAGCCCAGTTATTCACTTATTTGTTTATTTAGTTTTTCTCTAGTAAAACAGTTCCTAACAATTCAAAGTTATTGTTCCTTTAAAACAATTATCAGTGTTACCAAAACTATGAGTTCATTTGATAATCATTTTATGAAACTTTTTTAAAATGGGTTTCAATTAGCTTTATATTTAAATACTGAAAGAAAATATAGTTAAGATTTTACAAAGAAATTTTTAGGTACTTGAGATTCTAATACAGAAAATGAAAAATACTGACACGCGCTTCAATCAACTTTACCAAAAATTATTTTTCGGGGGCAGTTACTACGACGGTTTGAAAGTTGGAACCCCGGACGAGTACGACATAGACCTATTGTTGCAGTTTCCGTCGACACATGGAATCGAAATACGCACCGGTAAAGTACCTGGTTACGTGAATTTGTACTTGAAAAACATAACGTAAGTGTGCCAATGATGTGACTCATTGTTATCTTTAAACTGTGGCATATTAATCGCATGATTAAAATTTAGATTATGCTTTTTTAAGGTTGCAATAATCGACTATTGCTTACATTAAAGAATAAATGCCTTCACAATATTTTAGGCGAGCGGTTCACCCCTAAAAAGATGCTTCTAAATGAAGGTCACCGACAAAATTTTTAAAACAAAAACTTACAACATGAAACTTTTTTATTTTATGAAGTGTATTTTTCTGATAATTTACATATTTTTTTATATTTTTGGGCGTGGTCAGTCAATTGTTATAAACAAAAAAGTTGTAAAAAAAATTACTCGCCTAATGGCTTTGAAAACAGTTTTTTATTGTAAAATAAACACATTTTGTTCTTTGGCAAATATTCTAAAAATGCTTTGTTTCCGAGATATTTACAATTTAATGTGAAAAAAGTGACGAAATCGACAAACTTTCGGAATTTTTTTCTCAAAAACTACTTAACAGATTTTAATTCTAAAAAAGCATAATAAATCGGCAGAGTTTCTACTTTAAGATATATTTGTTTGGTATGGGTCAATCATTTTATTGAAGATCTAAAGTGAGTAAAAAAAAAGTCTTGTAAAGAAAATTATGATAACACTTCAAATTTAAATTTTCTTTTTACAATATCTCGGATTAGATTATACATATTTACAATAAACATTATGATTTTTTTAATCGATATATGTTAACAGTACAAATGTTCAAAAGATAATTTTGTTTGGTTTTGTAGCCGGAGTAAGGTTTTTGCAAGTAATTAGTAAAATTTAAATATTCGATTTTTGGTTTTATAAATGGCTAAAATTGACTTGAAAGTTATAGCAAAACTAAACTAAATAAACTTTTTAAATCGTAAAATTAACCAAATAATAATAATTGACCTAGCGGTCTCGAAAAATAAAAAAGTTATTGGATAATTTATTGTATAAGATAATTATTTTATTTTTATGTTACAAAAATATTAAGAGCAAAGTATATTAATTTCTTTTTTATTTAATTTTGAAATAATAAGTTTTTCGTTATTTTCGACAAGTTCTTGAGTTGAAATAAGTGTTTCATCATCAATTTCAGATGACATTCTAACATTCATCTGAGCACGCACAGACTGCACAGCATTCCAGGTTCGATGACAAACAGTTACAATTTTTCGTAGAACATTTTGCACTACATGATCAAAAATATTTTTGAAGCATATCTAACGCAGTTTCTCCTTCGAAATAATTAAAATCCAAACAACCATTTTCGATTTTCCATCCATGTGTCAATGGATCTAGAGTTACAATTTCACTATTTGTAGACTGTTTTTTTACTCGCTTTAGACCTTCAATAAAATAATTGATCTATACCAAAAAAATATATCTTAAAGTAGAAGATCTGCCGATTATTATGCTTTTTTTAGAATCAAAATCTGTTCAGTAGTTTTTGAGAAAACAATTCCGAAAGTTTGTCGAATTCGTCACTTTTTTCACATTAAATTATAAATATCTCGGAAACGAAGCATTTTTAGAATTTTTGTCAAAGAACAAAAAGTGTTTATTTTGGTCCACTTACAATAAAAAACTTCCATTCGGCGAGTAATATTTTTTTACAACTTTATTGTTTATAACAATTGGCTGACCACGTCGAAAAATATAAAAAAATATATGTAAATTATCAGAAAAATACACTTTATAAAATAAAACAAGTTTCATGCTGTAGGTTTTTGTTTTAAAAATTTAGTCGGTTCATGCCTTTTTTTTAGGGGTGAACCGCTCGTCTATTTGTCCCTGAGGGGTGTTAAAGTTTTCGAAAAAAATATATATTAACCATATATTTAAATATCTTCTGATAAAGTAGGAGGAATAGCAAAGAAATCTTGAAATAATATGGATCCTAAATTTTTCTTTGTGATTTGTTAAAAAGTTATAAAACACCCCATTTATAAGATGAATGCCTTTAGTCAAATTATAATTAATTTAACAATATTACAAAAAATGTAAAAATGGCGCCACGTGCTTCAATACACTTTTTGATATTAAAATTAAATAAAGATTTTTAGAAACGTTTTTTTTAACTAACATGCCATCTCGAAAACGAAAGTTTGATCTTTATACAGGGTAATTCACAACACATCCGAAAAACTTTAAGGATATATGCAACGTTAAAGATAGAATTGATATCACCGGAGAAAAGCTGTAATAAAATTATACAGATTTAGACAAAATGTTTGAAGTTGTATAATAATAATAATAATAATAATAATAATAATAATAATAATAATATCTCTACCCTTCATTCTAATCGTAAGGATTAGCCCACAAGATGAAGACTTGTGTGGGAGAGAGCGCGGCATATTATTATTCAGTAGGCCGTATGTGCGCTTAGAAACGGCTTACGTTGGTAAGCTCTAACCACTATTCAGTGCAGGAAAGAGGGAAATCTAGAAAACCTCATTATTTAGGCCCATTGACCCAAGCCAACGTTCTTCCATCCTACCATACCCGCAGAGAGGGTGCCTAGTTCCTCTCTATGAATATAGCTCATTCACGGCCTTACGGTGCGCGCGCCTCCAGATATTCCAGGGCGTCAGCCGATAAGTTGACTTGTTTATTCAGAATTACTGTGGTTTTCATATTGTCCTTATTACTGTGGTTTATTATTTACATTAGTTTTACAAGTGTTCAAAATGGCCATGTGAATAGTAATGTAGAATTAATGGTGTAATTTATGGCGAGAAAATGCATTTTGCATTTTAGCAACTCCTTGTTGCTTGCATTTACCGTGGTGGTTCAACGTGGTGGTGAAATTTATTTTCTTGAAGAAATGGAAGTCGTATGCGTCCACATAGCATTATAACAGCCGAGAAACATATTTGAATTACCGTCTGTTGAAGAATATTTCTGTATAAATACAAGGCAAATCATTCGATAAGTGCCTGGAGTCTCCCAATCAACACTATGGTAAACGTTATACGAGGCTCAAGTGTATCCTATCATATCCATTATCGATAAGATTTTATAAATTACAACACAATTCCCAAAGATCCTCAATTTACAATATACAGGGTGATCCATTAACGGTTCGGAGCGGCTGTATATAAGAAACTAAACGTGCTACGATTATGGGGTAAAAAATCTATTAACAAATACGGCCAAAAGAAATTGATTTAAAATATTTTCAAGTTTGTAACTTCGCTTATTGTATAACCTAAGTTGAAAATACACTTTTTAAATACACTGTTAAACCCTTCACAAGTTTTGTTTGCACTTTTTTTTGTTATTATCATTGAGGGTTGCTTTCGGTGTGCAGCAAAATAAAGCGCTCTCTCAACGGCAAAAATAAAAGTATTTTTATTGAAAACAAAGTTTGCGAAAAAGACGTGTTGTTGGAGCGAGCGTTCGCTGGAGAGTCCTCTTGGTGTGGAGTCGTTCGCAGAAGTACCTGGTCCTTGGCGCCAATCTGCCGTGGATCTTTTTTGGAACCCTGTTGCGTCCCGGGCGACATCAGACTGGCGCTATTGACATCGTACTTAAAGATAGGTCACTTGCAGAAATGTGTACCCACATCATAGCAACGCCAGTATGAAGGACGCCATCTTGAAATTTTTAAATTGTCATAACTTCTAAATGCCTTAATCGATTTCAATAAACGACGACTCATTTTAAAGAACTATTAATAAAATTTATATTTATGATATGGAAATAAAAATATTATTTTCCTGCGCAACGGTAGACGAAGCTAATTAGAAAAGTTTTGTAATTGTCTCCGATTACTAAAAAAATTAAATGCAACGATATAGGTTTTTTTCACGGCTTGATAGACCATTTATTAAGGAAAACAAATACACAAACCGGATGTCGATATCTTCTTTCGTTTTCAAATTATTACTAAAATAATGAAGTTGTGCCAGAACATCCTCCTTTATTTAATTCTTTAAATAACATTGACATAGTCCAAGCCTAAGTTAAATTGTAATATTATAGCAGTTGCGTCCCCTAGCAGTGAAGTTACAAACTTCCAAAACTTACAAAATATTTTAAATCGATTTTTTTGGCCGTATTTGTTTGATTTTTTACCCCATAATCGTAGCACGTTTAGTTTCTTATATACAGCCACTCCGTACCGTTAATGGATCACCCTGTAAATGTCTGGAAATTTCAACAGGAACACCCCCAACATCCATTTCTTTAAATGTTTGGGCAGGGATTGTTTACAATCTATTAATTAGACAATTCATAAAAAAAACATAAAACATAAAACACACCACAGAAATGAGACAACCCCCAAATCCAAAACCAAAGGCTTGTGCCCATTATCCATCGACATTGCCAGTGCCGACACCGGGGATTGAACCCGGATCAGAGTAGGAAGCCTAGCCGAGAAATGCTTTCCACCGCACTCTCGACCGACGTATTGTTAAATTGAATGGATGATTTTCCGCATTTACTTTCTTCAAAATTATTTGCCTGGACTTCTTAAAAATGTGCCCTTAGCTGTTCGTTAAGAATGTGGATCATGCATAATGGCGCGCTTCCTCAATTTCGACATTAATTAAGTTCAAGAAGTGCGTGGATTGGCCAAAGAAGACCGGTAGCATGGCCACTGCGGTCTCGTGACTTAAACCCACTTGACGTTTATTATAGGGACATTTAAAAAATGAAATCCTATCTTACTGAGGTGGACATTACTTCACTACAATATCAAGACCAGCGACAGAGGATCAAACGTGCCCGAATAATTTGTGAGTTCTTGGGCAAAATTTTGATCAATTGTCGTAATTCTTCACGTAATTATTAATTTTTTCTTGATTAAATACTATTTAATATTTATATGATATAAATATTCCAATAATGTGTAGATAGATATTTTTAAGTAAATTTTGAAGTGTCTTTTCTGATTTCTTACCATATTTTTTAGATAAGTTGTGAGTAACCCTGTAAAAGAAAATATTTTTAAATGAATGAAAAACGCTTCATTTTTGAGACGCGGTTGTGTTATACCCTGTATATTCCGAGAATTTTTAAAAAGACCTTTTGGAACCGTTGATTTTAAACTCAATAAATCTCAATATATTTCAAAAGTTTACTATACTATCATTGAACATTCAGGTTATTATAATGTATATATGTTTTTAGAGGTTTTGAGAAATTTTGTGACATTGATGAAAAAGGGAATTTGTACCTAGATACAAAGAAAGTTTTATCTTGGATGGAGAGCGTCATTACCAGAGCTTTTGAAGAGTTCGAGAAGATCGACTCTTGGTATATTCTTGGGAAACGTGAAAAACTGCATGTGAGACTATGAGAGAATAAATTGAAATAATATTTGACATTGCGTTTGCGTATAAATAATGTAACGAGTTTTAGGTGAGATACCATAAGACTGATGGTCCAGCATTTACCCTGGTAATAAAAGTAAACGATGGAAAAGAAATGAATGTAGATTTAGTTCCTTGTTTTTTATTTGAAGGAGACAAATGGCCAGCTGGTTTTAAGAAGTATAAAAAAGAAAACGGAAAAATTCTGGTTTGTATACTTCCTCGATATTGTATTGATTACAATTTTGGATATAGGCAATATAATTGTTTATCTGCTCCCACTGTAGTAAACATACTATTAATACATTGTTATTAAGGAGGTAAGTGGATTTTACCCCAGAAATGGAAGTTGCTATGGACAACGGGAGGTAAGTGAGGTAACTTACCTCCCTAGGGAAAAATGCGATTTCGAGTTATAAATGCATCTTTTATGAACAAGTAAATAGAAATATTTGATGAACATTACATTTTATTAATTATTATGAATGAATATTTATAGTAATTGTACAGTTATTACATTTAGTAACATTTATAAAATCTGGATAATTATTCACCTCGCGTTTACTAATTGTCACATTTTTCTCAAAGTGATTTGACCTCTCCATTTCAGTCACCGGAGGCACAATATTACAACTGTTAGCAACATAACTTTCTGCAATTGTGGCAGATTTCCACCCACAATTCTCTTGATTGCTAATACATCAACTCCTGTATTAGCCAGTAACGTTGCCGATGTTCTTCGAAATGAATGGCATGTATATGTTTCAGGATGTTCTAGTTTCAAAAACTGTGCAATGTTATTAGGAATCATAGAAAGGGTATTCTTGCCGACTGGTTAGTTGTAACATCTACCTGCTTGATAGCGCATAAAAAAGCGTACAATTTCAGTTTTAATATCCATTCTAATCTTGATATATTTCTTGAGAATTTCTAGGTGAGAAACAGAACCCAGACGCGAAGTAATTGTAAACGTACGTGACATACCATTTTTAGAATCTGGAATTGTAACTACAATAATGACATCGAAGTTTTTAAAATTGACGTCCAAAGTAAGTTTGCATAAGTCATCAGAACGGCAGGCTTCTGCAATGCCTAAAACCGTCACAACCTTCATTAGCAAATATGTGTTATCGGGTGTCTTGGGGTATTTTCTCCTCTATGAAAATAGTTAACTTAATCATTGAGTATTCACTCCATAAACTCGCCGGTGACCTTAAAGTTCTTGACTTCTCCATGAAATATGCTTGCAGTGGCATTTCAGAAACACTAGTATTTTTGTTCTGGCACCATTCCTTGAAATTTCTATATGCTCGGTCGTAGCGCACTTTCGACTTATCGGCCAATAAAAATTCGCAGGCAGCATTTGCTGCACTTTCTATTTGAAAATCACTCATTTAAAAATAATAATTCAAAACCAACAAAATTGCAACTTTTATGTAGCTTTGTTTGTAAACACTTTAGAAACGACAAAATCCAAACAACAAAGGCGATTTTGCAAGATTTCGAATAATGTCAAAATGAATTATTGATTAAGAAATGTCAAAAAATAAGATCTAATCTTTATTTCATGAACCATAAAGAACTGTGGGAGCAGATAAAATGTTACACACCACGCAGCAGTAAGTATAATTTACCAGTGTCGGACTCTATTGCCAGCACTCGCTCCGCTCGGGCGCAAAATCGTCCTCGACTGGTAAATAATAATACTTACCTCCTTTATGGTGTAAATAACTATTTCATGTATAATGTCAAAATGACGTGTGTATTTTTAACATAGATCTTATAAACTACTTTAACATATTTTATAATGAAGTTAAATGTTTTAGTATGATTTTTTTGTTGTGCCAAAGCATCCAAAAAATGTCACAGTTAATATCAGCAAGTATTGGCGACTATCTTTCCAGATACAGGAAAGGCATTTTATACATAACAAAGGACGCTTAAAACCAACACTGAAGTTATTGAAGGTACGTTTTCTACTTTAATAAATCTTTCAAAACAATACAAATATTTTAAAGAAAAGACTGTGACCCTTTTGACATGATAATAATAAAAGTTTCAAACGTTTATAATGTTGGTCAAGTTAATAAAAAAATTGTATAATTTCAGAAATTGAGAGATGCACAGCAACACAAGAAACTGTATAGTTATTTTTTAAAGACAGTGGCTTTATGGGAAGTTTTAAAAAACCCGGAACCATTTTGGATTAAGAATTCGTTGAGTTTTGTCTTTATGCACGTAAGTATTAATGGAATGTTTGCTAAATCTACACGATAAATACAATTTATACTCGTAAATAAACTATTTTTATGGCAATGAAAAATTAATTATTTTTTAGCTCTTGAAAGAATGTCAAAAATATTTGGAAAATGAGAAAATACTGTATTTCTGGACAGTCGCAGAGTTTAATCTGTTAGAAACAGTTAAGGTAGATTGGAGTAACATTAGTAACAGATTACGTTTTATTATCAATAAAATTGAGAGAAACCTACCAGACAATCCAGATGTAATACTAGAATTTATTTGTAAGTACAAATATACTCACGTCTATTTTATTTCACGTCTATTTTATTTCATTTTTTTTTTTAATTTGTTTTGCCAGTTGTGGAAACATTTATAAATATTAATGAAATAAATCCTTGCGCCAAAAGGATCAGCCAGGATCGTTTTTAATTATTTTCGTTTGTTTTTGCCAATTTCCACAGCTAGAGATATCATATGACATTTATTCTATGATTACTTCATCTTTTGTCAAATATTTGCTTTAAAATTAAAATTGTAATGAGTAGTATAGAAACACAATTTTTACACTGAATATAACGTTTCTACTTAGATGTGTTATTGTTTATCTGGACATAAATGAGTTATAATATTAACATAATAGAGGTTTACGAAAATTGCCTCGTAATGATCTCGACATAGCATTCTCTCTCTCTAAAGCCGTAAAAATAACAAGGACACAGATAATAATTTGAGCAACCGGGATCAATTTTTGTAAACTCCTAATATTAATTTTATATTTGCAGTAACACCCGACGAGCTAGCTGAATTATATCCCAAAGCTACATTCCCGACTGTCGAAGAAGAAGCAGGATCATCATGCATATTACTATAAATCTATTACTAAATTTGTGTTACTTTTTTTTACATGCATTATGTTATTGGACTTGTGTATTGTAGTGTATTCCAATTTTAATTCAATCTGTAGTTTTTTTTAAGAAATAATCGTAATGTAACGTTGTGTATAAAACTTGTTATATAAAAGATATAAACGTGTTTTTTAAATTTGTACATATGTAAAAGTTTAATAAAGTTGGTGTTATAAATGTTCGATGACCTCATATACCTACACTATATTTGTTAAAAAGTGGAAATGTACAATTAAAAACTGAGATATTCCAAATATTTGGCATAACAATCACTTGTCGAATCAACTATCTTATCTATTTCAGATAGGTGCCTAATTTTTCTCTAAATTTAGTAAACAACAGCCCTGGGTAGTTTACAGAAATCGGTAGATCGGTGTACAAGTGACTAGCACAGCTTCTAATCATGGAGGACAGGAGAAGATATAGGGGAATGGATGAACATTTAGAGAATATTAATAGGGAATACATTTCATTTCCCAAATCAGTAGTAAGAAGAAACAACAGAATTTTGAGCGAGGTGAGTTTGAGTTTTGATGACTAGACCACAACCTTTTAACTTTTGCAAACAATTATTGAAAAGTACCTAAGTAATATTTGATGTTTTATTAACCTACCTATGTAAAGGTAAATGGTCAATGTCTTTGAATTTTTAGGTTCTAAATCCTTTGATATGCAGAATGCGGCAAACAGACCAACTTTTTGACCAACTTTATAAAAAAAATTTTTATGGGGGCAGTTACTACGATGGACTGAAAGTTGGATCTCCAGATGAGTACGACATAGACTTGTTGTTAAAGTTTCCACCAACATGTGGAATCGAAATACGTATCGGTGAAATACCCGGATTTGTGAATATGTATATGCACAATAACACGTAAGTTTACTTTCTAATCTAGAATATCTTATAATACAAACAATTTATGTTTGGTCTGATATTAAAAAACGAAATGTCAGCTCGAAAAATACTATAAACTGACAGTATTATTATTTTTCAACACCTACCTTAATGACAAGTACCGTCAAATGGGGAAAAAGAGGATTAAAAAAACACTTTTTTTAAGAAAAAAATTAAAAAAAAAAAAAAATTAGCATTAGACACTAATTTGTCTAATTTGATTGTTAATTGAAGGAATAAATAACCCCTCAGGTATTTTAAATTTTTTTAGTTGAAGTGTGATCCACTTTATCCCGTAGGGAAGGGTAAAGTGAATCATTGGTTTATTTTTGAAGAACATTCACTAAAAACACTTTAAAGAGAATGAATTTCAGGCACTTACCCTCTATTGCTTACGTAGAATGTAATCCAGTGGCTGGCTATACAGGGTGACACTGAAGTTGAGAGAAACAAAAAGATACACCAAAACCTCCAGGAAGGGTTTTAATAACAATAAAAACAAAACGAACAAACAAACAAACTAATGACACAACGGGCTCGAACAACATAATTAATTAATTTATTTACATGCGACAACGTACCGAGATTCAGGGAATGCGCGATCCATAGCAAAATTTGGGACTATTCATTATTAAATTAACCTGAGACTCTAAAACTAAGTAGACTGCTCAATGTGAAATCCAAGGAAGAACTGACTTTTTCTCGATCTCTCCTGAATTCGACACTTCGCTTCGACACGCCCATTTCTTGGGTCCAGACGTTTTTGTTCTTATCTTACTGGCGGGAACCCTGGATATCGGGACGCTTTGGCATAACTATGTTATGTTAATAATTACCTAATTGACTGGACTTACATTTATATAAATAATTCTGTGACTAACTGAACTTACAAGTAACCCTAGCCTTCCTCTAGTGACTCCGTGTAGCGATACGGGACGGATTAGTCGATCTCATTTAATATATCCTTATAGCTTGGAAAATCCGCCAAAAAAACCAGCTATTTGTTCTATTACTTTATTTTCCAATTACCGTTGGCCATATATTTATTAATTAGTTAATTGGGTGAGAGCAATTAACCGCGAGTCGAGCCGAAACCGTCCGCTGCCCCACTCTGTCGAGGGCCGCGCGCATAATCCCACTACGACTCCTGCCTAGTCAAGGGGGGATTGAAGCAATAAAACAACCGTTCTGTCAACGCTTACTATTTTTGAACACCAACTTGGGCTCGGAACGGGTTGTCGGAGCTTTGGCTAGTGCTGTGACCTTAACAAGAACGCCGATACAGTTTAGAGCGGGTCGTGGAGTTCGTAGGTGTTGGGGTCTATCTCATCCGAGATAGGTTCGAAGTAAAGAAAGTAATGCCCGAGCAATATCAAAATTTAGAAAAATTGAGGAAAGTGGGAGATAATTAAAAAGATTTAAAATTAANCTGCTTACATTTTCTGATACTGACAGGTTATAGTAATAGCTACTAAGCCCATTTTTTTATCAGATGTTTAGTAAGGATGACTCTTCCGAATCATGCTCCAAAAACTGTCCTGCGTTATACAGGGTGACCAAAATATCACGTCAAAATTGCCAATTGAAAAATTGAAAAATCTCGAATTTTTTAAATGCAACGCCCTGTATATTTTCATACCATGAGATGCAGAATTAAATTATCTACAACTTTGCTATACCTGCTCCTATACCAAAATTCATTAGTTTTTCATGAAATCTCATTTCTATGACAAAATGCGAAGTTTACAAATAGTTTATATATAAAATAACGTAGTAGGCTCCTGTCAAATGATAATCTGGAAAATTTTCGATTCACATAAGGTTTAATAGAAAAGCGACAGTAAAAATTGTGAAATGAATTACTCTAAAGAAGAATTAGTAAATAATAATTAGTAAAACTCATGGTAACTGTTTATTGGCAAGTCGTATTTACCAAACTAATAATCCAGATTTACAAAGATATCCTCGTACAAAGTGTTTTGTAAAATTGAAGGAAAGGTTTGAAAGAACAACAAATACAAATTATGAGAAGACAACAAGAACACACGCATGCAGTCTCCAAAACAGTAAATTAACATCGTGCATTTCTAACAAAAGTAATAAAGACCTAGTTAAATTAGTAATTAACAGGTAACCGCTCAAAATGTCTGCCATTTTTCTATAGACATTGAGCAATTCTACGNACCCCCGAAGTTTGGCTGGGCCACCCACCGCTTCCGGGAGAAGTCTGTCGGCCGCCCCGCATTTGAACTCGTACCTCATCCAGACTTTGCCTCCTGTTTACCAACAACATCATTTTCCTGATTACCGTTTGCTTATTTGTGCCTGATGTAAACCGCTTTGCTTGGTTTTTTCTCCTGGCTGGTCGCATTTCCGCTTAATTTTCGTCGCTTTGCTAGAAACTACCGCCGATATTTATTTGTAGAATTAGAGTCACCCGTAATTATTTTTCTGTTTCAGAACCATTGGGAACAATTTATTTATTGCTCTAATTTATTAATCTTATTTTTTCCCTTTCTAGCACCGACCGAAATTTAAAACCGAATATTATTCTGGCGTACCTTTTCGTAAAGTCTTGGATTGTTTATTAAATAAACCAAAGGCCAAAGACTCCGTTTTCTGCCGTACCGATTTTGAGTCCTGATATTTTGACTATGTGCTAATTTGTATTTATTTTCAGCACCGAAAAACCGCATAGGCATTTTAAATCCGTCGTACAAATAATAATTGCTCTAACCCATTTTATTTCATTTTATTTCATTCTTACACCGCTTGTAAATTTATTGTATATTCCTGGTTTTAGTTAGTAATAATAATTGTAATTAGAATTACTTTTGTTTGTTTGTTTCAAATTCAATAGGCCTGATTAATAAATCTAGTAAATATAATTCCCGTTTGTATTCATTCTTAACGCCGACAAAGTTGATAAAATTCCGATCAGTAAAAAAGGGGTCCGCTTATCTTNTTTCATAGAAATGAGATTTCATGAAACACTAATGAATTTTGGTATAGGAGCAGGTATAGCAAAGTTGTAGAGAATTTAATTCTGCATCTCATGGTATGAAAATATACAGGGCGTCGCATTTAAAAAAATCATTTTTCAATATTTCAATTGGCAATTTTGACATGATATTTTGGTCACCCTGTATAACGCAGGCCAGTTTTTGGAGTATGATTCGGAAGAGTCATCCTTACCAAACATCTGATTAAAAAATGGGCTTAGTAGCTATTAGTATAACCTGCCAGTATCAGAAAATGTAAGCAACCAATATCGACTAGAAAAATCTTTCGCGCGAGATATTTGAAAAACTGTGAATATTTGAATAGAACTATTCTACACAAAGTACCCTTTATTTTTTATGTAGAATCCGAAAAAAATATAAGAAATGTGTGTTTCCATTTAAAAAACCAAAGTTGGTGTCTGTCCAGGAAAAGTGGAACACCCTGTATAGTTGAATATATTTTTGTTAGGTGTATGTTTTCAAGTGGAGCTTATTTACAATTAATGATTAGGATTACCTTACGGGTGTAGTACGTAAACATGTAGTCAGACTGTCAAGAGGCAACAATGGGCAGATGAGATGTGATCAGGGTTCCTGGCAATCACTCGTGATATGTAACAAACAAGTACTGCTGTATGTTCTCAATACGTAACTAATTATGGTTTACACTCACCGGGGGCGCCCCGCCCCGTCCCTCGCTGTCCTATCTGGAGGTCCCTCGAATAAGCATCCCCGATGTAGGTTGTGCATGCATCTGGAACACCTGTAATCAAAACTACACACACATACGCTCACTTCTTTCATCCTCGTATCTCTCGGCTCAGCCCCTGGATACGGCGCCCCTTGGCTAATGCCCTCGGCCTCACCATTCATTCTCGTATCACTCGCCT